TGATCTTTGAGGTCTCTTCCATCCAAGTCTTTTCTATGATTCTAAATGTGTGAATCCTCATGTCTCAGTTGGGAAGCAGTTTGGAGACCCTAACAGACTAGGCTAAAAGGTAATGTCTATTCACCTTTTTACAACAGTATAAACTCCCCCATCACAGATATGTGGCTGTAAATGGAAGTTACTATAAAGGAAATTGGACAAGCAAGTGTTAGGACTATATGGTTGATAAATAATCCCTCATTAACTTCAAATCTGACAACACATTAGTGAATGCTGCTGCCACCCTCATAGAATCATAGAATCAACCAGGTTGGAAAGACCTCCTGAGATCGTTGAGTCCAACCCTACTGTGGTCACTAGACCATGGCACCAAGTGCCACATCCAGTCTCAGCTTAAAAATCTCCAGGGACGGATGAGAGAGGGAGGACTTGGATTTCCTTGCTCCAGTCTTGTCATTTTAGCTTCTTACCTTTTTTCCTCTGCTCCAGCAATGAAAGCATCCTCTGCTCTGGCTTGTAAAACCAGTGTCTGCGAGTGGGACAGGTCACAAACACCAGCGTGCTCATTACTGATGCTCAGACCACACTCCTGAGAGCTGATAGCTATTTGATGGTGGGGTTTTTTGCCTTTTCAGTTTGAAAATGAACTGATAACCAAGCTGGACCAGGAGGTGGAGGGTGGCCGAGGGGATGAGCAGTACAAGATCTTGCTGGAGAAACTGTAAGTTTCCTAAAGAACATGTTGGTTGCAGCATACCTAATGCAAAGAAACCCTCACTCCTTACTCCAGTGACGAGGGAGACAGTGCAGCTACAATGATTGTAGTGCAGCACAGGTATTCTGAGGCTGATTGATTGCCAAAAAATGATGGTTTTATTCTGAAACAACAACTTGCACAACTACCCTGAACCAGGAGATGAAAGCTTAGAGGCAAATGCCAAACTGGCAAGGGGGTTGCAAATGGGAAAGCTTTGGAAGAGCAGGCTCAAAGTTAAAGCCAAATCGGAGCTTTTAGCACCAAGAATCCAAGTTTTGATCAACAGGTCATGCTTTGACCTCCCTGACTTGGCTGTCTCAGGTGTGTGGGTGGGGTGAGGTGTACACTGTGAGAGTCTCTGTTCAGGAACATATCTGACTGAGTAATTTACATTGAAATTCCACTTGCCACCACTCAGAACCACAACTGACCCTTCCTTCTGGCTCTGGGTGTCCTGAGCCATATGCTCTAGGGTGACCCTGCTCGAGTAGGGAGGTTGGACCAGATGACCCATCGTGACCCCTTCCAATCTAACTGATTCTGTGATTCTGTGCAGCCTTCTGGAGCACTGTAGGAAGCACAAATACCTGTCTGCCCCAGGAGAGGTGTTTGCTCTGCTGGTCAGCAGTTTGCTGGAGAACCTGCTGGACTACAGGACCATCATGCACGACGAGAGCAAGGAGAATCGCATGAGCTGCACTGTCAACGTACTGGTAGGGGCAGGGCTGAGGTTTGGACTCCTCACCTGGCTACTGTGGATTCTGAAGGAAGTTTTTTATTGGGGGGGGAGAGGATTATAAGTAATTCTTTATGCCATTTCTGGTTAATGATGTGCCCAAATCAAGCTGGAAACATAGAAAGATTCACAGTCCAAAACGAAGAAACGTAGAAAGAGTCACAGTCCAAAATGAAGTCATGTAGCTCATCCTTATCACATGGTGACCTGAAGCTGTGAAATAGAGGCAGGAAAGATGCATAGCTTATAGTCTGAGTCCCTGTTCTACTGTCAAGAGCCTTTATAACTTTGGACAAGTCACCTCCTCTGACTTACTCCTCTTCTGGAGGCACTGGCAGCCTCACCCGGTGTGAAAGGAAAGGTTGCAGCAATATATGCACCTAAGTAACCAAAATGACAGAAAATATCTTTGAAGTATCTAAAACTGATGCTTAAATTACTTGTCTAGAGATGATTTTGCAAATCCACGGTGCTTTGTGTTGTAAGTTTGACTTTCTTCTGTTCTTGGCAGAATTTTTACAAGGAGAAGAAACGAGAGGACATTTATATCAGGTAATGTCTCCCCCCATAAGCCTGGAAAAAGCCTTTATTCTCTTGGTGTTCTGTCCATGGGTTCAGGAATCCTTCACACCAAGGAATATCTCTTTCTCTGTGCTCAGGTACCTGTACAAACTCCGGGACCTGCACACAGACTGTGAGAACTTCACAGAAGCTGCATACACTCTACTCCTCCATGCAGAGCTGCTCCAGGTATTCCACCAAAGCCAATTCCAGGTCCCACTCTCAGGGCTTGGGTTTGAAACAAAGTGCAAACAGCTCAGTATCAACAATTCACTTTTTCCACCCTTTTTTTAATGTGGCTTTGCATCAGGTAGATCCTAGTGGTCCTTAAGGAGCTTCACAGTCTATCATTAGCATCACTTTGTGACATCCTCTTGGGGCAGAAGTGCTGGGAACTGTCTCAGTTTGTATCACTGCAAAACCTCCTCTGCACTGATGGATTTGTCCAGCTGAAAACATTCCAGTTCTTTCACCTTTGCCTTCTTCCCTCTGTCCCAGTGGTCTGAGAAGCCTTGTGTACCTCACCTGCTGCAGAGAGACTCCTACTATGTCTACTCCCAACAGGAGCTCAAGGAAAAACTCTACCAAGAGATTATCTCCTTCTTTGACAGGGGCAAAGTGAGTGGCTTACAGTGTTTGTACAGGCAATGTTGGCTTGGGAATGTTACTTTAGTCTTTGTTTAGTGTTTACTTCCTGGAAAATCCTTGGTTGAAGTTGCTTACAAGGGTAAAAGCAGATGTGAGTCTGTAACTTTGATGCTTAGGCCTGGCATGTTTATCCTGGTGATATTTGAATCCTTCTATTTCCATGTCAGCCAAAAGTGTCTGAAAATGAACCTGTTGAAGCAACTTGGGTAGGTGGGAAAACTACAGGTGTTTTCCTTCCTTTTTCTGGGCAATAGCTCTAAGGTTTTTGGCATGGCAGTAAATGTGGTTTGTCTGCTGATGCTGATCCTGTGTAGCTGCATCTTGGAGAGGTGATTCTACCAGGGCTAAATGCTAAATGTCTCCTTATAATGGGATTAAGCTGAAAGAGAAGATACTTAGATTGGATATTGGGAAGGAATTCCTCCCTGTGAGGATGTTGAGGCACTGGCACAGTTTGCCCATAGAAGCTGTGGCTGTTCCATCCCTGGGAGTGTTCCAGGCCAGGTTGGATGGGGCTTGAAGCAACCTGCTCATGGTGGGGGGTTGGACTGGATGATCTTTAAGGTCCCTTCCAAACCATTCCATGATTCCATGATAAATGAGACAAACCCAAGGAAGCCTGTTGAAGTATGGGTGTAGGAGGAGTCCACCTGGGCTTCTCTTTGCTGTTTAGACACGTCCTTCCACCGCTCAGTGCCTCAGTTTTCCCTCTCAGGAGCAGAATGGAAACTTCCCTTTGTAAATCCTCACTTTTAGATCTACAAATCAAAAGATCTGTATGACTCTAACAATTACTGCCAGAAATGTCCAGCAAGCAGTCAGAGGGAGAGTTGGCAGCGCATGAAAGTACTGCCTTGACTAAAATCAGCTGCAGTTTTGTTTACCCCTCTGTGCTAACGAATGCTTTTAACCGAGTCTCTTATGTTGCCTGTGCTCTTCTTCCCTCACCTGCCTCCTTCACCCTCTGTGGAGATGTGGGAAAAAGCCATTCAGCTAAGCAAGGAGTTGGCTGACATGTATGAAAACAAGATCTTTGATTATGAGGGACTCGGTAATCTCCTGGTAAGATTTTTTTTTTTCATCCTTTTTCAGCAGGTTACTGAGTGCTTCACTTAATATTGGTGAGCAGAAGAAGCCTAAAATCCAGTTATGTTAAAGACAAACAATCCACCATAACCCTTTGGAAAGCTTAATATTGGGATAATGTTTTCAGAAGTGTGTTTTGACCTTCTAATTGCCATGCCAATATCATGTGCAGATGCTTAGAATTCTTGCTGATGACCCAATCAAGTAACATTTGCAAGGTGTATTTTCAGGCTCCATAAATCTCCTGACCTTGTTGTTTCTGTGGTAAAACTACTGCTCAGAACTCCAGAATCCTCTTGGTTCTGAATTAGGGTTTTTAGTGGGTGAGGAAGAAACCAGATGGTCTTTATATTCTGTCAGATGAGGATCATTTGCCCAGGGTTATCCTTGCCAGGTCTCTGACATTTGTCACCATTTGCATCTGCTCAGTTTCAGAATACATTTATATTGAATTTGTTTTCCAGTAGTGCAGGATTTCAAGTCTCCTCCTGGAATCCTAAAAACCATTGTTCTCCTGTCTGCAGACCAAGAAATAAAGTTGATTCTGGCCCAGACAAACCAAATATTTAATCAAGTAAATGGCTAGGTTTGAGATTCAGTGGCAAACAAGCAATTGTAACATGTTGTGTAGGGGAGAGCTAATAGATCAGGAATTGTCCCTGGGAATGTGAGCTGAAGCCTGGCAGTGTCCTTGAGTATTCCAGAGTGAAAATGTTGGTGTCTTTTCTTTTTCAGAAAAAAAGAGCTACTTTTTATGAGAATATTATGAAGGCCATGAGACCTCAGCCAGAGTACTTTGCTGTTGGATACTATGGACAGGGCTTCCCCTCTTTCCTCAGGGTAAGAATTCTTCAGCACTCAAGTTCTAGAGTGGTGAAGACCCTAGAAGTCAGAACTTTTCAAAGCTTCCAAGAGAATTCGATGCCAGACTCCTTGTCCTTTGAATGGCACTGACAGATCTAAATCCCTTAAGTGTTTCAGAACTTTTCAGTGTCTGAAAAGAGACTAGTAAGAACTCCAATTGTGTGTGTTAGCAGCTTTAATAGAGTCGGTGTGTGCAAGAGAGTTTGGTAAATGATTGATATGTTCTTATGTGGACTTAACCAGAGTGTACATTTTTTATTCATGCCCTTAGCACTTCCTCTGAAACCTGATTGTTGCTGTTAGAGAATGTTCAGCCTGTAAAGAATTGATCCCATTGCTTTTCAGCCTGAAACAACCTAATTTTCAGGCCATAGATCAACACATTAGTGAGAGTTTGTCCCATGCAGAAGAATTCAAGTGCAAAAGTGGTTCTGGTTTGAGACAGCTGCTGAGCACTGCTGGTCCTGTGCTAACTAGAGCACATGAGTCCAGCCCCAGTGGGTCAGATGGGCAGGTGCAGTATGCCAGAAAATATTCCTGACTTATTTAAAATCCAAGGACATTTCCATTCTCAGACTGGACCTGTTTGCAGTTCAGGCCTTAAATGGAAGCCAAGCCTAATAAGAGAGAATAATGTTGAGCTAGAACTGTGGAACAGGATGGCATGGAAGGTTTTTTTGCTTCCAGGTCATGTTTCCCTTCCAGAAACAATCACTGCTTGGTGGCCAGCTTGGAAAAATGGTGTAGTGTTAGGTTTGTAGAGCAAAACTGCCATGGTTGGATGCCTGGATGATGGTAGTGAAGAGAGTCAGGAACCAACCAGAGGTAAAACTCATGTGTGTGCACTGGGAGATCCCTCAGGTAGCTCACACCAGTGGGCAGCAAGGAGCAGACACTTCCCTGCTTCAAAGAACTTCTTGGCACTCATGTTCTCTTACTTCAAATCAGCCACTGACTGAGATTTCCTGTTGAACCTGTGAGTTCTTGGGGTGCTGCAAAGTGTGAGCAGTTCAGTAACACTTGTGTGTGTTTGGATGTGTCTTGACGCGACGTGATGTAGCTGAGGATGTCCCTGCTCATTGCAGGGGGTTGGTTGGACTAGATGACCTTTAAAGGGTCCTTTCCAACTCAGACTATTCAATTATTCCATGTGGAACAACACATTTTCTAGTCAAACCTGAGGTTGCCGTAGCAGGGCCTTGACTCTCGTTCCAACCCATCTTTCTTCTCTCACCTGTTCTGTTAAGCTAGAAGCAAACCCTTTACATAAACCAGATCTCTGAGACCACTCTGGGTGTGGAAAAGCTCTTCCTCGTTGCTTTGTTGAGTGTTAATTCACTTTTTCTTCTTCTACCCCCAGAATAAAATGTTTATCTACCGTGGCAAAGAGTACGAGCGCAGGGAGGACTTCAACCTCAAGCTGCTGACGCAGTTCCCTGGTGCTGAGAAGATGACCAGCACTGCCCCTCCAGGAGAAGACATCAAGGCTTCTCCTAAACAGTGTATCTTTTGGTTCTAATGCATCTTGGCCCATTCAAGAGGTGTCTCTTCCCTAAAAGAGCAGAACTGGTGAACAACAGCAATAAGGAAGGAGCTCACTGCTCCAGGGGAGTCTGAAGGCAGGAACTGGGCATGAAAAATAGTACTATCCAGAGCTGCAGTGGTGAATTTAAACATATGCTTGATATTTGCAGAGTTAAACAAGTTGCTGTTAGGGTAAAGCCAGAACAGATTGCAGGGGAGGATTCCTTGTGCCTTCTCACACAAGTGGTGCTGAAAGCTTTAGTCATGGGGTGATCCAGTTGGGTGTTTTGAGGTGGAAGAGGTAAAATGCAGGCAGTGAAAGTGGCACTGACACAGGTTGCCCAGAGAAGCTGTGGCTGCCCCATCCCTGTAAGTGTTCCAGGCCAGGTTGAACATGGCAAAGTGTCCCTGCCCATGGCAAGGGGTGGAATGTGAGGTGCATTTTAAGGGTCCGCCCAAAGCATTCCATGATTCTGTGATTGCTGCTGTGAGAGTACCATTAATTATCCTATCTCTTCTCCCTTCCCCTTCTCAGTTCCCTAAAACTCACCTATTTGCCTTCCCACTAGGCTTAAGGTCCTCTGAATTACGAGACTGAAC